CACGTGGTAGCTGCGCTGTGACGTGAAATGGGCATTAGCCAATGAAACGTGACCCCTGTGGTAAGGTCCATTGTTCCTTCTGGGAGTGAGACCCCTTCTGTGTGGACGACCTTCCCTCTCTTTGTAACCATCCGGCCACACTTCTCTAGTCCGAATGACATCCCAATGTCAGTGCTGTAGATCCTGGTGGTGTGGATCAGTGAGTCGATGTCTCGCTCGCTCCTGGCGTACAGCTTGATGTCACCCATGTAGAGGAGGTGACTGATGGTAGCCCCATTCTTGAGTCGGTGTCCGTAGCTCGTCTTGTTGATGATTTGGTTCAGGCCTACGCAGAACAGCAGTGGGGACAGAGCGTCTCCTTGGTATAGGCCACATTTGTGCAAGTGGTTTGCAGTTGGCTTCAAGGGTGATTTTCCACAGCCTGTTAAGGAAGAAAATAATATCTAAATTAATTAACTTTAGAAAAAGCCTGGCTCTCTCTTCCTCTGGATCCCAGGTCCTCTCGGCGAGCCACGTGTAGCCACAAGGAAAACAACAATGCGTGTTGACGTCACAGAATTACAGAGTTTAATCCAGTATAAGACAATGCATAAACTTACACAGAAACTGCAGAACAACAGAGACATACATTCATTTACGTGACATAAATGGAAAGAAGAAGAAAAGCAAAGATGTGCAAAGACATCTTTTGAGAGTTGCAAGAGCAAATCTAATTTGTTACTTCTGTGTAGAAAATTTTATAGTAAAAGGTGTATTCTTATCTTTAATTTATTCAAAAAAGGCGTATCTTTGCTCATCCAACCAGGAGCTATCTCTGACCCTCTATCTGAAGCCAGAAACCCCTGCCGTGTTTACGGCCTTTCACAGATGAGTGTGAAAACTGGAACTTCTACTGTATTGTTTTCCCACACAGATAAAAGGCAGTTCAAACGATCCAAGCAAACCATCTGCTGTAACTACAAGTAACATAAAGGTCAATAGGCCAGAATAAGTTACTGATTTCAAAACCACAATTAGGGCATTTGAATCAAGACATGTTAAGTTTTAAAACTAGCTTATTTTAAATTTATTTTCTCAACAAGCCCCATCGAGTTTTATATATATGTGTGTGTGTGTGTGTGTCAACATTGTGCAATTTTGAGGACTTAGTATGTTTTGCGAAATGGCAGTTCCTGTGAAACCACCTTCACGATCAGTATCTTTTTCCTGTTTATTAATGTTTCCTTCTCATTTTATTTTTGCACAAGGTCTGAAAATAAGATGGAAAAAGACTTTTTATTGCACAGAAATTTAAGAACATTGCTTCTTCAGATTGATGAACAATATATACACATTTAGGAAAGTTATCCTGAGAATATTGTTGATTTGTACTCGTGACATGTGCAATGACAATAAAGTCGAATTCTAATCTTTTCCGTCTCTTAAGTAGACATACTGCTGTTGTGGGATTCAATGACTGTGCATGAAGTTCAGGACAGAATGCAGGAGGTGCTCCAAAAAGTCTGGATTCGTGACATTTATTGCTATATGCAATGAAAAATAGTGATGTATAAATCCAATGTCACCAAAACCATAACTTTGAAGAGGTGGTATTGTGGGTGTCTGCTTCTCATGAAGCTCATTGCAATAGTTCAGAGGTATATGAAACTTCACCCCTTGCTGCAGTTGATATGCATTATCAGGTGATTTTCAAACAAATGGTTTGATGGGTCCTCATAATAACTCAGACACAAAGGCTGACGTCGTAATAAGTCCTTCACTTTGTTCCGGCCCATTTTTGTTTGTTGTCATGTAGTTGTGTGATTTGTACAAGTGGATGACTTTGCATCAATACGTAATACATTACTTACAGGAAATACAATAGAATTTCTCATTGATACTGTGCATCAAAAGCAGGAAAATACATCCGACCTGAGCAGTCACACAGTAACACAAAACATCTATTTCAAACCAAATCACTCTTACAAACTAGTGATAAGTCCTTAAAGGGCTTTCTTTCACTGTGAAGAAAATCAAATATCCTTTTTTTTTGTATTGCAATGCACTGTCATTTTGCTCACTCCTTTTCCTGTGCAGCAAAGTCTCATTGGCAGCTAGATGAGCTGTGAGGGAGGAGATATATTACAAGGTGAATAGATAAAGCTCCGAACAGTTAGAGCTCAACTCAGACTCAACTCAGACTGAGACTCCTGCAAAATGGATATTGGTAAGAGTTTTTAAAACTACAATTAATTTGGATAGTGTTGCTGTTAATGTTGTACTAGCAGGAATGAGTAAGAAAATGTATCCTCCAACTATCCTTTGAAATAAAGTTTAGATGTGCATTGTCCATGCTTAAACAGGTAATCTTGATATTTCCTAGTCTGTCAATTCAGATAAACTAGTTGTAATTCAGATGTCTGTCTTTCATCTTACGTTGCACATAAAATTATGTTGTTATATCACAATTTCTTATTCTTTTAGTGTATTCTTAAAAATCTGTTTTCAAATATTTCCAATTTTCTGTCCTCAGATTCAGTTGTGAAGCATGTCCAAACATTCTCACTGGTCGTCTACTGCCTGATTATTCTGGTGGGGACGGTGGGTAATGGTCTGGTAATCTATGTGACCGGCTTCAAGATGAAGAAAACAGTCAACACTGTGTGGTTTCTCAACTTGGCTCTGGCCGACTTCCTCTTTACAGCGTTCCTGGTGTTTTCAGCAGTCTCTCTCTCTCAGCAGCACCACTGGCCCTTTGGAGAATTTATGTGCAAACTCAACAACTTTGTGAGCTTGGTCAACATGTTTGCCAGCGTCTTTTTTCTGGCAGTCATCAGTTTGGATCGTTGCTTGTCCATCTGGGTGGTGGTGTGGGCACAAAACAAGCGCACCGTCCTTAAGGCTCAAATTATCAGCGCGGCAATCTGGTTGGCTGCAGGGATTTGCAGCACACCTTACGCCTTTTTTCGCATTACGTTAGTCCATGGTAATAAGACATACTGCACTTATCCTCACGAAGAAGAAAAAAAACGGATTCTGAATATTTTCCGTTTCCTTATGGGTTTTCTCATTCCATTCCTGGTAATACTTTTCACCTCTGTTGCTATAATCATCCGTTCCAATCATCTGCAGCGGGCAAGAAAACGGAGATTTCATCGCATCCTTTTCTCTATTATTTTTGCATTCTTCATCTGCTGGTTGCCCTTTCATGTTTTGAATTTTATAGAAGTCAATGACCAGCATCTCTACAACATTGTTTTAATTGGAAGTACTCTAAGTGTCAGTCTTGCCTTCATGAACAGCTGCCTGAATCCCATCCTCTATGTTTTCATGTGTAACGAGTTCCAGCAGAAGCTCAAAAAGTCCCTGTGTTTTGTCCTAGAAAGCGCTCTGGCAGAGGACCATTTGTCTTTTGCATCATCTCGCTCATTGTCATCTCACTTCTCACGGATTTCTCGAAAGTCGGATTCTGCAGCCCCAGAACATAAGCACGTGGATACGTTGATTTTCAGAGAGTAGAGTGGCCTAGAGTAAAGGAAAGGCAATGAAACAAAATCAAATGTTCAAACTCTCGTTGAAATGGCAAGAAAAATAAAACATGTCCAAGATATTGCTTGACATACATTTGTGGATTGATAGAGACAATGACGTGCACCTGTGGAGTGAAATAAGAAGAATATTTGCTGTTTTATTTTTCTTTAAATGATTTGTCTTTATTTTTTTAAACAATTCCAATCACCAATCCTTATACCAGGGGTGCCCAAAGTCGGTCCTCGAGGGCCGGCATCCTGCATGTTTCAGTTCTCTCCCTGGTTTAACGCACCTGCATCAAATGATGGCTCGTTAGAGGCCCTAAGAGGAATATTGACAAGCTGAAAAGGTGGTGGCTACCACCAGGGAGAGAACTAAAACGTGCAGGATGCCGCCCTCGAGGACCGATTTTGGACACCCCTTATACTGTGTGATGTATGGCAGAATATTTTGATCTGTGTGACTATGAAAATGTAAGGTTGTTCAGATTTTGCAAATAACTAATGGAAATATTTTAAATGTTTTGTATTTTTTTCTCTGTATCTCTGTGCTTAATAAACTGTGAAACTGCAGATTTTTGTGTGTCTATCTTAGTATGTATGCATGTATTACACAGTCAGCTAATAACAGTTTAGTTGCAAGGCTCAGTTGAAAACAAGGAACAAACATAAAACACCCTTTTCAGTTTATAGGTGGGCAGACAGAACATATGCCGTGTATAAATGAGTAGTTATCTTGTCTACCAAGTTCAAAAATTATTTAGTTTTAGCCTCAGTTTACGACATTATTTCATGAAACACAGGTGAGGTCCAAAATGAAACAGTTTCTGAGAAACTAAGCATCATGTGTTGTAGTTTGTTGATCATGTTCAGGATCATGATCAACAAACTAAAACATGTGATGATCATGAGTTGTTCATCATTTACTTTCATTCTAAATGAAAGCTTCTTTCATTTAGAGAAACTAAACCAAACTTGTCTTTGGTATCTTATTGGCAGCTTCCTGTTTTGTTTGGGATAGTCTGGCCCTTTCCAGTCTCTTTCCTTCCTGGTTTATTACTATCCATGTTTCCCGGACTTCTCTTAGTTTTTAGTCTTTCTTCTAATTGTGATCTGTTTGTGTACTGCTTATTAACTTCTGGTTTGTGTTCAGTTCCTGTTCTGCCATTCATTTCCTGTCTCTTTTCTGTGATTATGCTCTCAGATGCTTCCTCTCAGCTCATTAGTCTCAGTTGTTTCTTGTTCTACTCATCAGTTCTCATTAGTATATTATCCTCTTGGGTTGTTTGGTCATGACTGGTTCATCAGTTCAGTCGTACCCTGAGTAATTCTGCCCTCCATGTTCCTGATTTGTTTTTGGGTTCATTTAGTTTCATGATGTTCAGCTCTTCAGTTTTTGAATCTCTGACTTTGTTTTTTACTTAATCTCTACCTCCCCCATGCCTGAATTTGAGTCTTATACAATCACAAATATCTCAAAAACCTTATTTGATAACTGCATAGTTATTTTTCTCTTGTTATTGTAAGTTTGCACTAACTGTAAAGTTGTATTCTTAAGTTTTCACCTTTGAGTGAATATGAATGCTCCCATTTGCTGCTCTTACCTGAATTTCCTCACTGTGGGGAAAAGGATGTTTCTATTCTATTCTGACATACACATTATACCCTATTTGCCTAGATTTTGTTGAAGTTGTGGATCAGTCCAATTTGTTTTCAAGACTATTTATAGGTCTGATTTACTTACATAGGGATGTCTGGCCAAAGTGGCAGATGGATGTTTTCCAGCATAGAGCAGGTGGTTTCAAAAAAATACTGATAAAAATTAATAACACAAAAGTTAACTTGGTGCAAATGGACATTACTGAACTTAAAGCAATTGAAATGAATGCTACAATTACAAAAATGAGGCAGCAATACAAGCAAGTAAGGTAAATAGTGTGCTCACCCACTTTATCAACGTTCAAATATCTTACAGTATTTCCTAGTTTCCTATAGTAGGAGGCAACAACATGAAGTCATTACTGCTACCTAAAAACAACAAAGCCTCAAAACACTTTATCTAATGTTTACCATCAAAACTGCTGACTTTGTTTGCCACAAAACTGGGGATCTGTTCCTTAGTTGTTCTGAGCATTACAGATACCCATTTTATTCTTTTATAAAATGTTTAACTTGACTGCTGTTAACAAAACTAAATCACTGGTGTTAATGCAGGAACATGTTTTTTTTTTTTTGCATACTGCCACTGTTGTCATCAAAAAAAAAAAAAAAAACACTCCACTGAAACTATGAATGCCCCCAATGTTAACAATGAAATCGGTAGACATAACTTATTACTTTAGCTTCTCATTTAGTCATTGTTTTTTAGTCCAAGCTTTCTTAGCGTTTTCATCTGTCTTTTGCTGTTTAACATGAATAGCTTCTGGAAATATGTCAGGACATCTGGTAATTAAATGTAAACCTTAATGAATGAGTTCCTGTTTATATGGAAAGCGGAAATAAATGTTTTAACACTGCTCACCACGATTTCCTATTGCAAGTATTGAAGCAGACTGATGGGAACTCTTAATTTACAATATTGCACATAATTAGTCCCAAAATGAAACAGTTGTGAAGTTTCTGACATAAATGCGTTGTGTCTGGTGAATGGCTTCTATTATAAATGTAACTAATCAAAGCAACCATGAATTATTGGCTATTTGTTTGCCATCGATTCATTGACATAAAAAGAAGCACAAAAAAATTAAAGCAAAAGTTCTAACACTAAGTCTAGCATCGTTGTTGGTTTTAAGAAGGGGATGTTCTGTGGCTAAAAATGTGTTGCTTTTGAAAACCTACAAGCTGCAGCTTTTCATGTGGTTCAGTGATCTACAGCTTGTTTTAAGTGCTCAGAAATCTAAAGTGATGTATTATAAGAGTATATTTAAATCACAAATGACGCAGCCTGTTGTTACTTTTCAAGGTAATTGTAAGATCAAGTTTGTCTCAGGTTTTATGATTGATTATTTTCTGGGTTTTGTTCACATTAAACAGCAGGTAAAAAACTTGAAGCTGAAGTTTGGTTTTTATTTAAGAATTAGATCTTGTTTATCATTTGAGGCTAAGAAAAATCTTGTTGCTGCCACTTTTATTTCCTATTTTAGACTATGGTGACACTATATATACCATGTTCACACTGGTTGCATAAGCTGCATTGTGTTTCTCGCTGGTGTTGGAGTCCTGCCTCACCACTGTCTTCTTTGTACATGTGTAGGCTGGACTGTCTTATTCACCCATAGATTCTCCCACTTTTATTTACAAAGTTATCTTGGGTTTACTCTTCCCCATATCTCCTGTCCCTTATTGTTGGAAAATTTTCAGGCGGTAGTTTTCTGCACTCTGATATCTTCATTTTAACTATTCCTAAGGTTCGCACTGATCATGGCAAGAAATCCTTCCAGTTTGCAGCTCCCTCACATGGGAATCAACTGCATAAAGACGTAAAGTTGAAGGAAATGGTCCCTTTTGATGTGTTTAAAGCCACTCTTATCAGTTTGTAAATGTTTTTTTTAAGTGTTTTGACTAATATTAAGATGCATTTTAGTCCTATTTTTACTTTAATAGTTGTATTTGCTTTTGTTTTTATTCCTTTATAATCCATACTTACTTTGTAATCGTCCAAGTGCCGTTGCCAGTCTTGGCCAGGTCTCTCTTGAAAGAGATTTTTAATCTCAATGAGACATACCTGGTCAAATCAACAGTACATACATTACAAACAAGATGTTATCAAAGCTTCCTTTTTCATTAAAGGTTCTTGAGGTTTTTCTGAAGAAAAACACACAGAGCTTGAGAAATAATAGTATATCATCAATCAAAAGGGGGGATTTTTGGCAGAGTAAAATACCTGGTAGAAAATGAACCTGAACCAGAGCGTAGGGGAATCTTCACTTGAGTCATGGTTATTTCATGTGGTTAGAAAGAGACATAAAACTATTTAAGAACTATTTTAAAAACACATTTTGCATTCAATGCGTCACATTGAATCTAATTACTGTACTCCTGTTTTTTAAGTAGACTGAAAGACATGGTACCTACTGAAAATAGAAAACAAAATCCACTGTCTCACTGGAACTGCTTTAAGTAAAAGTGTCACAGGGCCAAATATAGCTTCATGTTTGATCAAAGGTTTGGGAAGAGAAAATCTGTTCGAAACTGTCTGCCACTTGAATGTTTGTTTTTTATGTTTCTGTAATTGGTCATTTTGGAACTGACACTTGACATTAAGGGCTGTAGGTAGTTTGAAAGTTAGGAAGGGAATAAAAGATGATTTAGGACCATCTCGTGGCGTTTTGGTAAGAAGGAAAGTATATGACACATACATTGTTCGATAGGTTAGATAGATGGATAGAATTATACGTTTGGCGAAATATACAAATAAATTATTTGCATATGGAATAATCCACAAATGTCTGCCTCTTTTGGCCTTTACATTTTCATACAAATAATATTTCATTTCATGGTGAAAAGCCTTAGGTGGTACTTTTGTTTTGTTGACTCCTTCTGTATGTCCACGCTGTCTTACTGGCAGATGCAGCAACGGAAAGGGAGGAGTGTAGAGAGAGAAGAAATGTAGTTAAGATGAGATATAAATCAACTTAGAAAGAAGACCTTGCAGCTGACGGCAGCATGGGGACTGGTGAGTTACTCAAACAGCATCAATGCTTTTAAAGCTCATTCTTAATTTACACAGAAACGTTTATGATTGTTTAACGTAAAAACACAGATTATAGATTTTGCAAATTGATGTTTATGTTGTAGGATGTAAATCTCATTTCTAAAGACTGTTAAAAAAATAAATAGGTTAATTTTATAATTTTATACACACTTATACCGAGTTCTTCTAGAGTTAAGTAATTTTTCTATTTTAATATAAGCTTTTTGTTGAGTGAGCTAAAGTTTTTAGGTCAACTTAGCTAAGTGTGGCTTTGTACAGTTGCCTTTCACTGTAACTTCACAGATGCAAAAAAAAGATAAATATAAAGGTTTAACCAACCAACAAATTCACTGCTAGCTAAAAATCTAAAATATGATTAAATTTTACCTGTATGCAGCAATAACACACTTTAATTCAAGAACTTTGCTGTGGATATGTCTGCTGATTCAACAACATTTTGTCTGAGAATGCAGCTGCAATGAGAAACATGATAAGATTTTGTGAATGCATTATTGCATGTGAGGGAAGGCATTGTTGCACAGCACCTGCAAATGTTCTCTCTGTGCATTCTGCTGACTCTCTAACAAGCGTTTCCATTTCTCTTCATCAGATAACACAACCATAGACGGTTCATCTGGACTGAAATCAGCTCTCAAACACATTCACACATTCTCTCTGGTCATCTATTGTGTGATTATAGTGGTTGGGACAGTTGGTAATGGTCTGGTCATCTATGTGACCGGCTTCAAGATGAAGAAAACAGTCAACTCTTTGTGGTTTCTCAACTTGGCTCTCGCCGACTTCCTCTTCACAGCGTTCCTGGTGTTTACAGCAGTGTCTCTCTCTCAGCAGCACCACTGGCCCTTTGGAGAATTTATGTGCAAACTCAACAACTTTGTGAGCTTGGTCAACATGTTTGCCAGCGTCTTTTTTCTGATGGCCATAAATCTGGATAGATGCCTATCTACGTGGGTGGTGGAATGGGCACAAAACGAGCGCACTGTCCTTAAGGCTCAAATCATCAGTGCTGTAATCTGGTTTGCTGCAGGGATCTGTAGCACACCTTACGCCAGCTTTCGCATTGTGACCAACCAGGAGAATGTCACCAAGTGCAAATACAAAGATAACATCCAACTAAAATGGACTCTGTACACTTTCCGCTTTGTTGTGGGCTTCCTCATCCCATTCTTGGCAATATTTCTCTCTTACGTAGCAATAGAAATACGTTCCAAGCGGCTGCAAAATGTGAGGAAACACTTATCTCACCGCGTAATTGTTTTAATCATTGTTGCATTCTTCATCTGCTGGTTGCCATTTCATGTTATGAGTTTTATAGACTTAGCTTCCAACAATAACCAGGACCTTAGCAAGATTGTTGACATTGGAGGTCCTTTGACTGTGAGTCTAGCTTTCATGAACAGCTGCCTGAACCCCATCCTCTACGTTTTCATCCGAGACGACTTCCAAAATCAGTTTCATCAGTCTGTGTGCTTTGTTGTAGAAAATGCTCTGGCGGAGGACCTTTTGCCATCTGTAACCTCTCGTTTCTTGTCACCACAGTTGCTACGGGCTGATAGAAAATCACAGACCTCTGTTCCTGTCTAGAAGAAATACATAGGAATTTAATTACATATCTAGAATGTATTGCAATGTATGTATAGAGAAAATATGCATGTGAATTCTTTTTACTTTATTTAGCTTTTGATGTTTTTTCAACTGTAGGTGACTTTATTGTGTGTGATTTCCTTAAATGTTAAGTCTTTAAAAAAATATTAGTTACGTGTCGCGATTTATAGTCTAAGTTGACAATCTGCACCACATTAGCTTAGACTATTATAAAGTAAACAAATTGAAGACTCTCTTCATTGATCTGTATGCTAACCTGCCTAAAATGTTTCATATTTTAGGATGTTGCATGGTATAGAGGTAGAGATGGTTCCCTTTATACAGAGAATATCACTATAAACCCAGAATCAAAAATATTGAGTTCATAATACTTGTATTTGCCTAATTTCTGAGAATGCAAATTTTGATTAAACTGACCTCTTTCATTTCCCTTTTGATTTTAAATCTCTTTTAATGTCCTTTGGAAACACCTGCTTAGTCTGCAGACATGCATTCCTAACATAGAGCATCTCTCCCTGATAGTCATTAAGTGCTTTAGTGGTCGTGGCTTTCATTGTGGACTGCGCATTGACGTCACTGTGGACCCACATCAATGTGTGTGCAGGAAGAACCGACCCACAGCATTAACACAGGATTCGCCCACTTAGAAAACCAGGACTATTATCCTCATCTGCTCTTTGTGGATTTCACACCAACATTCAACACACTTTTACAACAGACTGATTCAGAACTTAATACACCTGGACTGAGTTACACCCTTTGCAACTGGATTTTTAAAATATCTCTTCCTGCCCTGTCACTCTCAGCACCGGCTCCCTCTAGGGCAGTGTGCTGAGCCCCTTCTGTTTATTCTGCTCATATATGGGACTGCTCAGCAAACAACTCCGTTGCCTCATTGTGAAGTTTGCAGATGACACATCTGTAGTTAGTCTGACAACTGGCAGGAGGTGGAGCACATGGAGGGTTGATGCAAAGGAAACAACCTCTTCATCAATGTGAAGAAGATAAAGGAGATGATGATACACTGTCAGAGGGACAGCAGTGGATGTGGTCTCTAAGCTACAGGTACCTGGGTGTACACATCATTGATGACCTCACCTGGAGCACGAACGTCTCCTGCCTGATTCGAAAAGCACACTACTGTCTCTACTTCACTGGGATGAGTCTGACACCGGAGGTCAGTCCTGACATTATGCTACAGACGTGGAGTTGAGAGTGTCCTCTGTCTCTGCATCACCATGTGGCACCGCAGTTGTTCTGTAGCAGAGAAGGCACAGAACAGCAATGCAGAAGGCGGTGAAAGCTGCACAGAGGATGGTGGATTGCAGCGTCTTAACCATCATGGACATCAAGATCTCCAAATATAAGAAATGGGCCTCCTGCATCATGAAAGACTCAACTCAGCCTGTGCCTTCCAATGTTTTTCCTCTTCCCTTCATGCAGAAGGTTGCAGAGCAAATAGCAGGACCGCAAGACTGAGGACTGGTGAACTATATGGTTCCCTGTAGCTCCTCCTACTGATATGTTATGTCATGTTGAGAAAATAAATGTAAAATAAGCTAGTTTTAAAACCTAACATGTCTTGATTCAAATGGCCTAATTGTGGTTTTGAAATTAGTAATGTATTCTGGCCTATTGACCTTTATGTTACTTGTAGTTACAGCAGATGGTTTGCTAGGATTGTTTGAACTGCCTTTTGTCTGTGTGGGAAAACAATACAGTAGAAGTTCCAGCTTTTCACACTCATCTGTGAAAGGCCGTAAACACGGCAGGGGTTTCTGGCTTCAGATAGAGGGTCAGAGATAGCTCCTGGTTGGATGAGCAAAGATACGCCTTATTTGAATAAATTAAAGAAAAGAAGATAAAACTTTCTACACAGAAGTAACAGATCAGATTTGCTCTTGCAACTCTCAAAAGATGTCTTTGCACGCCTTTGCTTTTCTTCTTCTTTCCATTTATGTCAGGTAAATGAATGTATGTCTCTGTTCTGCAGTTTCTGTGTAAGTTTATGCATTGCCTTATATTGGATTAAACTCTGTAATTCTGTGCCGTCAACACACATTGTTGTTTTCCTTGTGGCCACACGTGGCTCGCCAAGAGGACCTGGGATCCAGAGGAAGAGAGAGCCAGGCTTTTTCCAAAGTTAACTATTTTAGAATTTCTTCCTTAACAGTCACCATAACATATCATGTCTTTGGCATTTTTGCTAAATTTGTAGTGTTTTGCACAACTCTGGAAATTGCACAACACTGGTTTTATTTTATTTTTTTACAAATAAAAATCAGTCATGTATGTCAATGCTTAGAGGCAGATTCCGTTCCAGTTCCAGTTGACTCATAGTTACAAAGTCTGCACTTTTGCTCATTCTTCTTTGCAAAATAAAGTTTACTCAGGGTAAAACGCAATTTTCCACCATGTTTCCGTGCTCCAAAGGCTTGGCGCAGGCTACAATAAAGATTTCTTCTGACATTTCAACAAGGGCTATATTTCATGTGTTGCTCAATCTCATAAAATACAAAAGTTAAAAGATCAAAATAGTGAGGTGCCAAAGTCCTGTGCCAGAAAAACAAACCCAAATCATCAAACCTCCTCCACCATGTTTGATAATTGGTATTACGCATTTGTGTTAATCTGCTGTTTTTAGTTTCTGTCAAAAAATAGCATTGTGCATTATAGCTTAAAATGTAACACAGAAGAAACAAAGGTACTGCCCCTGTTTTGGTGTAGTTGGAATTTGAGAGATGGTTGCCGGGCACATTTTTTACTTTCTCATTTAAAGAAGGTTTTGCACTGCAAAACTGAAACCAGAAAGTTCTCTTAACACCCTCAGCCACACAAAAATCTATTATCAACTTTTTTTTTTTCATAAAACAAACATTGAAGTAGATTTATGTCTATTTGAATTTGTGTAATTATATCAACAACTGGGGTGTGAAATCCCTGCACGACACTCCAAGCATTCAATAATGCATTTTTAAAATTGTCACCAATACTCCATGTAACCTTGCATAAAAACTAATCTTGTAATCAATATGTTATATTAATGCCAAAAAATGCCAAAAGATTTCAATTTACTGTTTTATATTCACATTTAACATGAACATTAGTGATTCAAACTATTGTCACTAGTTGATAAGCAGATAAGCAAAGTGACACTCACTGGTGAATGTTTTGCAGACATGCTTCATTCCTGTAAAAACACCACACAAATTTGATTATCTTTTTCCTGCACATAAACCAGCTTCATTCACAGGCTAACAGGACTTATTTACAGAATACCACATTTATGTGTCTATATGCGAGGTTTGAAGCAAAAATACAAACTTTATCAATTTTATACATAGACATCTATTGTGGCATGTAAAGTACTTTCAGGTGTTGCTGTGAAATGTTTCCTGATTCATGTTTTTGATTATTTTTTTTGAGTTGGAACAGTGGAACGTAATGTAGTGAGGGCATGTGAATGACACAGAAAACTCAGAGTAGATGTATGAATTACGCAATTGTAGGGCACAAATCACAATTAAAATTGTGTTACGTTGTTCCTCAAGAGATAGGGTGCTTTTGTGGCTTTCTGCACTGCAGCTCTACTCTATCGTAAACAATTGCAGAAGTACGATGCGGGGGAAAATGTGGCTTTAACACTTATTGTTTTACAATCTGCATCTCAAAAGTAGGCACTAACATAGGGAAGGACAGTAATACATGTATATCACTGGGTCTCAGGAGGTAGAACACATGCTGCCAAGACCCAGGTGAGGAGATACAAGAAGCCTGCAAACTGAGACCCTGCAGAGTCCAGGGTTCCTACTCATCATGTAAAAGTCCTCTTTTTCCCACACTCGTTTTTTTTTTTTTTTTTTTTTTTTACATCAACTTATAAGATGCCCTCATGAATATATGGAACAATTTATACAGTGGAGTGTTCTTTAAATTTGAAATATGCAACAGAGAGAGAAAGAGAAAAGGAAACAAAGAAAGGAGAAAGAAAGAACAAACAGAGCATTAGACTAGTCATAATACTAGAGCTAGGAGAAAACTGATTGTTCAGCAGTCAGTATAAGGGAACCGATTCTAGAGAGCTAAAGTATGAGCTCAGACTGTGCATTTAAGCTAAATCATTTTAATTTCTTAAAAACCTTATAATACAAAAGAAATTTCACTGAAGAGATCTGACAACTTTATGGCATCTGAATTACAAAAACGTCAGGTTTTTGAGAGCAAACAGAACATTAGATGACAAGGTTTTAAGTATTTTACATGATGTACAAAACTCAGGAAAAAAATATTTGCATAGTCAAATAATCCTATTCATTAAAACCTCTCACAGCTGTCATTTGCATTCTATTTTGATTTCCACCTATGTAAAGAAGTCTAGCTGTACCTATTTGACAGTGTGGTTGAAGGGAGCTGGGGGAGGGCGAGGGCAAAATGTAATATATCAATTGTGAGTTGCTTCAGATGACACAGTTTGCCAAACAATTTAAAAATAGTCAAAAACGTACTGTATATATAAATAAGTTTCCACAGTTAATATTTTCATCTCATTTCCATTGCTGATTACCTGGTGCCGACACATTGCACATACAGAGTGAAAAACATCTCTCCAATAGAAGCATCACAGCAAATGTATATAGTTGCAAGAATACCAACTTGCAGTCGGCCATTTAGAAAACTAAAAAGTTTATGCAAAAAAGAAAATGGCTACAAATACAAATCATATAGATGAATCAATATTTATTTTAGTTTTAACTTAGATTTATGTTTTTGTTTTTTTTTTCACACTGTTGCAGAAAAGGTTAGAATGGACAGGGCCTAAAATAACTCCTTAGGTCGTTTATTAGCTTTGTTAGGTAACGACTTATCATTACTATTAAAAACCCTCTCAGGAACAAGTTTACTTTAAAGTGATTTCTTAGATACCATTTTAAAAGCTAACAGTTTTTATGGAAAATATGACATCTCTCCTCCAGCTTTGAAAGTAAATGTCTATATTTTTCTTATTTCTTATCAAAGTAACCGTTGGATAACTTATCTAAAGAATAATGATGCATGTTTGTTGAGTTATTATGTCTAAATGGGTGCGCCAATTGTGAAATTGTGTGTCTGTAATTTTTTTATTAAGACTACCAACACCTAAAAAGTGAAGTTTCTGTGTGATGTGAAATTGTATTAATCCCAACTTTGTAAATATTGTAGAGCCATGTTTTGCTACAATTACAGTTGTAAGTCTAGCAGATCATAGGTCTACCAGATTTGGACATCTTGGTGTTCTTATTGGTTGAGATTCGAAAGCCCCTCTTATTATTGTCCAATCACATTTAGTTGTTGTCTTAGGTAATTTCCGGTGATGTTGATTACAATGGCTTTAGTCATCTAATTTCTAATTTAGTCAAGATATAAACACAAGAAAATTGAATGGTTTTGTTATGGTTGATAACTAAATTGTACTTTATTCAATCATGTAAATAAAAGAAGCATGAATCTCTTACGTAAGATTAACTATTTTATTTTTGGGTATTTTATCACCTGTTGCAATTCCCATTTTAAAATTAAGTCCCAGTTTTTTCTTCATTAAAGTGATTTTATTCACCAATAAAATCCCCACGTAAACATATTATTTGTGTTTCTATATAAACTCTTCCAGTGAGAGTTTTTTGAACACTGAAGCGCAGCGCGAGTGCACTGAGAACAAGCAAAACATTAAACACCATATGAGATTGTGAAACATTCATAAGCATTCAATTGCCACCTACAGACACCGATAAGTATATAATTTGTAATGCTTTGTTTTCGGTGTCTCCACCACGTTGCACATCTTAAATTTTGGTCCATTCTTCTCTACAAAACTAGATTTTGCTTTGATCACATCAACTCAATTTTATTAGTTTAGCGCATGAGGCAATTCAAGCATAAAACCTTACAGCTGTGTAGGAAAATAAAGATAACTATATTCATCAAAGGTAAAACTCTGCCCCAGTTTCAAGTCCTTTGCACCTACTAGCAGGTTCCTAGAACTGCCCTGCATTCAGCTCCATCCAGCAACACTGGTTAAGATAAGTTCTGCACAAAAAGTTACTTTTGACTATTGCACTTGTCTTTGCATGTCTTTGCTTCTTAATGTGCTGCTTAATTCTCCCACCTGAGCAGTCGATATCTGCAGCTAAATGTTGCTTAGCACCCGAAAGTGCAACTGTGAGTTTATCCACTCCCATTGGCACTCTCATTGGCAGGTTTATGAGGTAAGAAGGAGGAGTAATCACATAGAGAACAAATAAAGGTAAGGCTAGATGGAGATAGTCAAAGTGAGGGGAGACTCCTACAGCTAAAAGCAAAATGGCAAACGGTGAGTTGCTTTGAACATGCAAAATTGATCATTTTAATTGATATTAGAATCGTATTCTGTACCTCATGTGAGATCTGCATAAAAGATACACATCTGGCAATTTTGGCAACTGTAAGATTC